ATTTTCAACACCAGTCTGATTATAGACAGTTTCACGATTGGAGAGAAAATTTCATTGTAGTCAATACATTATTTTTGCTGAAAACCTTTGACAACCAATCTCGCTTTATAGCGTTTTCTCCTATCGTGCTCTTCTTTGATCCTGTAAATCCACTTGTTGTGGAGCGCTTTCTTGTCTGGTGGTAATTTAACTAATTTTCATGACTGATTTGACATAAGAGAGTCAATCTCATCTTTCATGGAAGACTCCCACTTGACTGAATCCTCCACCTGTATTGCTTCATCATAGCACTCTGGTTCATCATTGCCAGTCAACAACAAGTAGTGCAAAGAAGGAGAATACCGCTGGGTTGGTTTAGGAATTCTGGAGGAGCGTCTCAATTCTAGTGTGTGTGGTTCTTCTTGAACTGCTTCAGGATTGATCTAAACACCATTTCCAGAAATCTCCTCAAACTTAGTAAATTCCTTTATTTCAACTTTAGTATTGGAGCTACTTGATTCTATGGTTGCCCTGTCTTTATACATCACATTCTCATTGAAAATGACATCTCTGCTTATGATGATCTTCCGATTTTCATAGTCCCTAAATCGGTAACCGAACTCATCACCACTATAACCAACAAAGGCACATTTGGTGGACTTAGCATCAAATTTACTTCTTTCAGCAGAGTCTATGTGTACATAAGAAATACAACCAAACACTCTTAAGTGTGAAAGGTTTATTTATTTATTTCTCCAAACTTCCTCTGGTATTCTTCCATCCAAAGGAACTGAGGGTCCACGGTTGATCATGTAGGTTGCAGTGTTAATAGCTTCAGCCCATAGAAATTTGGGTAATCCGTCATGTATCTTCATGCTTCTGGCACGTTCATTTAGAGTTTTGTTCATGCGCTCTGCTACGCCATTCTGTTGTGGTGTCATGGGAACTGTTGTCTCCATCTTGATCCCATTGTTTGCGCAGAAATCTCTGAATCTACTATTTCTATACTCTCCTCCATTGTCAGACCTCAACTGCTTAAATTTCAAACTAGTCTCATTTTCCACCATGGCCTTCCATTTTTTGAAGGTATCGAATACTTCTGATTTCTTCTTCAGAAAATAAACTCACACTTTCCTCGTAGAATCATCGATGAAGGTGACACAATGTAATGAGCCCGCAAGAGATGGAACTGGAAATGGTCCCCATACATCAGTATGAACCAACTCTAACTTTTTTACCTTGGGTATCTTACCAATCTTTATATAAAAATGACTTTCTTTTTGTTTGCCAAAGATGCAATCTTCACATAGTCTGACATCTACATTCTTTAGATCCGACAGCTTCCCTTTTGACAAAAGCGTCTTCATCCCTTTCTCGCTCATATGGCCAAGCCTTTAGTGCCATAAGTTTGATTTTCCATCAGCATCTGCGGCTGCAATAATATTCTCTAAATTTGAGGTTACATAGAGAGTACCAATCTTCTTACCACGAGCAATGATGAGTGCTCCTTTAGTAATCTTCTATTCACATCCTTAAAAGGTTGTACTATATCCTTATCCATCAAAATGTCCTACAGAAATCAAATTTCTTTTGAGACCAGGAATATGTCTCACTCCTGTCAGCTTTCAGGTGGTCTAGTTTGGCAGCTTTAGTCGGATGTCTCATTTTCCGTCAATCTTCAAGGTTTCAACATCAGCTAGATGAACCTTCCCAAAATCACCACTGACATAGTTCTCCATGATTACTTGGCATGGGTTGGAGTGGAAAGATGCCCCTGAATCCAAGATCCATGATTCAATCAAACTGTTGACGCTTAAAATCATTGTATCACCTGTCTCCTCTGTCATGTTGGCAGATTCCTGTACGTCGGTATCTTTCTTCGGTGCTCGGTAATCTCTTTTAAAGTGACCCTTCTTGCCACAATTATAACAGGTATAACATTTCTTTCTCGTTCTTGATTTTCCCGTTCTGGATTTTGATCTGCCACGATTTGAATTTCTTTCTGAAGTTCTCCCTCTACACTCCGTGCGCAAGGCTGAGGAGGTTGATACTTCACCCAATTCTCTCCGTCGAATTTCTTCACTCAATATCAGATCCTGAACATCGTCGAATTTTAATTTGTTGTTTCCCGATGAGCTGCTAACTGCTGTAACAGTAACATCCTAACTGTCTGGTAGAGATGATAAGAGAATTAAAGCTCGAACTTCATCATCGAATTCAATTTCCACTGAACTCAACTGGGTTGTGATTGTGTTGAGTTCATTTAGGTGTTGAACCACTGATGCCCCTTCCGCCATCCGCAAATTGAATAATCGCCTCATCAAGTGAACTTTGTTTGAGGCCGATGACTTCTCATACATACTGGGAGAGAGCCACCATAAGACTCGCCGTGGTCTTTTTCTTTGCTATGTTGAAAGCAACATTACAGGATAACGTCAGTCGGATAACTTCGAGGGCTTGTTTGTCAAGAAGAGCCAGTCTTCATTCTTCATGCCCTCTGGTTGCTTTCCTGAGAGAGGTTGATATAGATTTTTCTGGTACAGAAAATCTTGAATCTGCATCTTCCAAAAGCCAAAGTCCGCTCCATCGAACTTTTCAATTTTTTCACCTTCTCTTCGTCTGCAGCCATCGCTCCCACTCGAATCTGGCTTCGTTTGGATTGTTTCTGACAATTCTTGCAAATCACCGTGTATTAGAACATCTCCGTCAACAAATTCATATCGCTGACATTTTTTTTACTATTCACGAAATTCACTATTCACATGAATAGTAACCTCACAAAAATTTAACAAAATTCACAACCAAAAGCTCTGATTACCAGTTGTTGGGAAATAAACGAATAACGAGTAATTTCCCTATAACCAGATTAGTAAGAATGCGAAATGAAAGCGGAAAAATAATACCCGAAATTGATAACGGAGTTCAACCAATTTTGCTTACGTCTCCGGACTGCTGCAGATCTTTTACTAGAGAGAAAATTTACAGGTGTTTACAAAACACTCACTACTCACAAGAAAGCTCTCTAGTATTGGGAGAAAGAAATGATTTGGGATTATTTTGAAGCTAAATGGGCTAGGGTATTTATAGTTGAAGCTTAAGGACTAATCTTGTAAATACCCTAAAGTGTACAGTGGCTAAAATGTAATTAACCTATTTCTAAAAAAATAAAAATTGGGGTACCGAATTCGATACCCCATTTTGTTAAAAATCATCAGCCTGTGCGTTGTGCCTCCCCCTTTTTCCATTTTCGGTGGCCTCCCTTGGCCTACCCTTTTGACTTTACAGAGGCAAAGCGAAGGTCTGGTTTGAAAAGTCTAGAGACTCTAGATCTTACGTTGAAGCTTTTACGGGGAAGGGGAAACAATAGTAGAAGTAGCACCAAGCGAAGCAGAACCGACTGAGTTGGAGGAAGGGGAGATATTAGCAGTGGTAGCTGTGAGCGAAGAAGAATCATATGACCCAGAAGAGGATCAAGAGAAGGCCAAAAGTCTGTTGAAAAGAAGAATATGAAGAAATGATTAGAACTGTTTCTTATTAACTTTCTGTAACTACATCACTAGCTTATATAGGGATCTTATTGACTTCAAGATCACTCAGCCTCACAACTAACTGTAATCTCTAACAGTATTAATAACAAACTTTCCATACGTCACTCTTAACTATACTAACAACGCTAACAACTTACACAAACATCAACAAACTACACTCCATGCACACATTAGCTACCCTTCTGGGAGTATCAATACTCTACCCTCAATAACGATACCCAATGAGTACCGATACCAAAATTGGTTATTGAAATTTGCTAAGTGAACTTGATATATATGCCCCTCCTGTGATTATCGATACCCAACCAGCAATATCGATACTCGATGAATGAGTATCGATACTTCTAGCCTAGAACTTTCTTATTTTAAACAATCCACCAGATATTATCAATACTATTTTCCACTATCAATAATCAAACCCAAAAATGTCTTGTTTAGGCTCGAAAATGACCCCACATTTCACCCAAAAGCCTATTAAGATTTTCAAATGTTATTAAAGTTTTATATATATTAAGAGGGATCATAATAGGTTTATAATCATGCTGAAAAACACTAAATGTTGGAATATACTATGACTGTGCTTTTATGCTTCTTATCTCATGCAAGCTACCAAACACATCTAGTGATCTACATGTGGTGGAGTTGCGTTAAAAGTGTGTTACTTGAGCTACCAAATTATTGGAAATGCTCAAAGCTCAACAAAGAGTCAACTTTTCTTTCCCTTTGTTCTTGGAGTTTTCTCTCACTTTTCTCGCTAGAAAAAGATCAAAGAATGAATTACTAACTTGCTTAGGTGTTTAAGAAGAGATTATTAACAATTCCTAAGGCTTGAATCCATCCAAAAACAGCCTGGAACACTTGAGTTCCTAACCCCACTAAAACCTAATTATGGCTACTATAGGCCAAAACTTGACGTTGAGGGCTTAAAATAAAGTTAAAGGTGTGGAGATGTCAACTATTACCTCTTCTAAAACGTTCAAGGCTTTTTCACACTTTAAAATTCTCACATTTGACGATTTCAAGTGGGAGGAAAATGAGAGAGGGATGAAGAAAGAAAATGATAAAATGGGGGAAAAAAGGAATCACCGTGTAACCTCATCAACGTTAAAAAGAATTCAACATTTCATAACAAAAATGGCTAAACTACTTTCTTGGTCCTTCAAGTTTGGGTCTCAATCCAAAAACCCCTTTTTAACTCATTTTAGACTTAATCTAAACCCAAATCCACTTAAAATTTAAGTCAAAATTTTCTACAAGCCAAGGGATTTATCTAATGCCCTATCGGGTTAGCCCGAAACTCTTAGTACGGAATTTGAGGTGTTATATGTTGCCTTGTATATATCTCATATTAATAAAAAAATAGTTAGATGATTAAAAAGAAATTAAAATTACAATGGGTGACTAAATAAGTATTTTGCTCATTAATATAATAAAAAAAATCCAGAATTATCCAATTGCCTGAAATCGCGAAAATGAACCAGTTTCCGTGAAGCTGCCTGCCTATCAACAAGCGGAGAGAAGAGCACCAAGAAACGGACGGTGGTAATGGAGTTAATAGCTCTTCACATTTCTCCGGCGTTACCCAGAGAGTGTTTCTTAACGGCCAAAGATAGCAAGCCTTCTGCTTTCACTCACAACGTTCGAAACCGTCACGGAAAATCACGGTTCCGATTCCAAGCTCGGAAAGCTGGCTTCCGGAGCTGGAACCCAAACATGATTTCAAGGGTAGACTTAATCCAACAAGTACTTGAAAGAGATAGTTTCATCGAAGATTGGCAAGAACTAGAAGAAGAAATAAGCGGTGTCGATTCGTCTTTTTTGTATTTGAGTGAAAAGCCAGATAGGAACATGACTTTGCTTGACGATTACGAGTTGGAAGAGCTTGATTTTTCTTCTTCAGCAAACCATCGCAGCGGTTCGTAACCTTAGCTCATTGCTCCCTTTTTCTGTTATTTAATTCTCTGTTTTTGGTTATTTAATCTTTCAAAGATCAACTAAGGATATCATGCTCAATACCTCCTTTTTTTCAATCATAATTTATTAATACGGTAAGAACTTCTATTACACTTGTAGATACGAAAGCAAAATCTTGTTTTTAAAAGATGGTGAGACAACTGAGACTGAGAACAATTTGAGTTTTTACAGATTAAGCTGAAATCCTTTTGTTGAAGGAAGAACTTGTCAAAGAATACTTTGTTTATGGTTGTTTTATATCTTGATGGTGTGCCAAATGCAGGGTATGTGGCTGTTCTGGGGAAGCCCAATGTTGGGAAGAGCACACTTGCTAATCAAATGATAGGTCAAAAGCTATCTATAGTTACAGATAAACCCCAAACCACCAGGCATCGAGTTCTTGGTATATGTTCAGGCCCAGAGCATCAGGTTTGAAGATTAATTTCTTTTATTATAAATATTCTTTCCCGTGCTTTTGGTCGTCTTTTTGGTATTTAGCAATTTGTGTCTAGTTCCTTGATGAATTAGGGAAATCATGTTCCATTTCTATTTTGTATGATCCCGTGCTTTGCTTGCAGATGATTTTGTATGACACTCCAGGTGTTATGAAGAAGAAAATGCACAAGTTGGATTCTATGATGATGAAGAATGTCCGAAGTGCTGCCTTAAATGCTGATTGCGTACTTGTTCTTGTTGATGCATGTAAAGTGCCTGAAAATGTATGCTTCATGGTTTTTACATTCTTTGTTAAACATTCCACCCTTTTTCTAAGGTCAGTTCTTTTGTCTAGATCGATGACGTGCTAGAAGAAGGCTTAGGAGATAGCAAGTGTACACTGCCCACTCTACTGGTTTTGAATAAGAAAGATCTGATAAAACCTGGTGAAATAGCAAAAAAGCTTGAGGTAAGAATCTGTTGAGTTTTGTGCATGCTTTCATGTTGACTTTCTTTAAACTTAAGATGTGTATTTGTCAGTGACACTAGTGGGTTCTTTTGACAGTGTCACTAGTGGGTTCTTTTGACAAATAGTTACTCTTATATGCCAATTGATTTATTGAATTGTAAATGTTTTCATCCTCATCTTTGTTTCTGAACGAACTTTTATGTTAACGGCCTGCTGGCAGACCTACAACAAGACTAAGAGCCATGGCTGTAATGGCCAATTTTCCTTGCAATGTTTAGGGTTACAATGTTTCAAAAGGCTATGTTCCTTGTAATTTAACTACCATGTAATATGCATCAACATTCTTAAATATTAAGGTTTTCATTCTTGCAATATTGACAATTATCAAATTAGTTTTACTTGTCATTGCAGTGTAGTTTTTTTTTTTTGTGTGTGTTTGGATTTATGGTGCATTAAATGAAAAAAAGGAAAAATGCAGATATGATTACTCCAACGCTGTCTTAAATGTTGCTTAGACCCTTAACCAATGCTTTTCAAAGGTGTTCTCTTAAAATATTTGGTGCAGTGTCTCCAGCATATTGTTATCACCACCTAGCATGTGAGTTTAACTGTCACTTGTCAAATTGTTAAGTTCACCTGTGTCCTGTATTTTAACATTAGTAGCTCTGTGAATTGGTAATTCCCTTCAAGGTTGGTTTCCTAAAATAGAAATCCTATGCCTTGCAGTGGTATGAGAAATTTACTGATGTAGATGAGGTCATACCTGTGAGTGCAAAGTATGGACATGGGGTAGATGATATCAAGGATTGGATACTGTCAAAACTTCCAACCGGGCCACCTTACTATCCAAAGGTATGTAGAAACACAATATATCTATTTGTATTCCCTACCATCTTATCTTCAAGAAAGGAAAATGGTGATAATTCTTGTTATCAGTAGTGTTGCCTTAAACTTGCCAAATATTTGAATTTATCTATTATTAAAAGGAAAAACATGTTATGTTATCAAGCTTTAACAAATTCAAAGCAAGCAACATCAATTGACTTAGATTTCTTTGTTTAGCTTAACATTGAACTTACTTGACTGTAAATGTACCGAGAGTCAACTGCTGCTAGGTTACAGTTCTGCTGTTTCCTTGATACCCTATAAAGCTATAAAAGGATTGTTGATGTTCTGGACTAGTTGAATAGGCGAACATATCACAAGCATAGTTGGAAAGCGCGTTTTCATTTCTTGAGCTTGTAACTCGTATAATATTGGGGACATTATATGATTTTAAAGTTGCCCTTTTGTCAATAATCTAGGATTTTATTTGGCTTTATGCTAATTGTCACTCAATTTTCTTCCTAGAGGAAATTTCCGATCAACTTTTGGTGGGACTTGAAAAATGAACTGCTTCTTTCATATGAACAGTGGTTATTGTTTATATTTTGCCAGGACATTGTAAGTGAACACCCGGAAAGGTTCTTTGTAGCTGAAATTATCCGAGAAAAGATATTCATGCAGTATCGGAACGAGGTTCCTTATGAATGTCAGGTATGGACTATAGTTATCAAGATTGTCAGCAAGATATAAAGATCAACCAAACCCCACCAAACCAGATTTAATCTTCAAAAATTTCCAGGTAAATGTGGTGAACTACAAAACAAGGCCAAATGCAAAAGATTTCATACAAGTAGAAATTGTTGTTGAGAAAGACTCCCAGAAAATCATCCTAATTGGAAAAGTAAGTATTATCTTGTGTGTTTTAGACTTTTTGCAATTTGCTTGATGCATCAGTGGTTCTTTGTGCTTGTTGAGTATGTTTGACTAAAAAGAGTCAAATTTGATCAGTGTTTGATATTTACAAATTAATTAATTTAAATTATGAAATCTAAATAATGTGCACTGGCATGTGCATGCATACTTTCTAAGCCTTGCATTTGATGCCTTGTGTCCCCTACTATTGAAGGGAGGGAAAGCTCTAAAAATACTCGCGACAGCTGCTCGGATTGACATAGAAGATTTCTTACAGAAGAAAGTCTTCCTTGAGGTGCGAACTTAAATCACAATGCTTCTCTTAAATTATAAATGGTGAAATGTTCATGGTTTACTTTTGCTACAAGTTATTATCTACTTTGGAGGTCAAAGGTCTGTTCTCACGGCTGTCCTTTGAGAAAAGGCACCCAAATTTATTGTTGAATCCCGACAGAGAGTGTCATTGTTTGTGCTGGGATTGTCTCTGTTTTGAAGGTCTAAAGACCATTTTCCCGATTTATCTTTTGAGTAAAAGCGCCTTATAAGGTTCTTTCTTTATTGAGGCACAATTCAAGCCTTGATTAGTCGACATGGGATTGGTTTCCCCTTCAAAACTGTCATTATATCTAAAATGCCTGCATTGATCCCTTTGATTTGATGAAGGATGTTTAATCTGAAGCAACAAATTGTATATACAGATTGAAGTGAAAGAAAAAGAGAATTGGCGGCAAGATGAAGGGCTTCTGAAATACTATGGCTATGGAGGGCAAATTCGAGCACTATAACAACGTCCCACATTCAGCACAGGTTATCGTATAATTTATTTGAGTAGTTTTATGAAAAATGTTTGAATCAGTTTGGACTAAAAGTTGGGTTCAAGAAATGCCTCCGGTTTCATATTCCTTCTTTTATGCAATTTTGTTAGCCCACGTTTAGGATACCATCACGAAAGGATATCGCCAAATAATTATAATTAGGAATTGATATGTAAATATGTATTGTCAATTTTTTATAATAAAAATTCGGGGTGTAAATGAACATGACATCCGGTAAACCGTTTGGTGGTTGGTCATGGTTCAAGTATAAAGGATATCGCCAAACAAGAGCTTTTTTCAACAGTGATATTATTGCAGGGCCCTACTGTAACATCCCAAAAACTAGGTTAGTGACCAAAAATGAAAGTTAAGAAAATTTAGTGCTCAATTTCAAAAAAATTGAAAGTTTAAGGACTTAATTATAATATCTTTGTGTGGGACTGAATAGAAAAGTTTGGAAGTATAAAGGGCATTATGGTCCTTTCATAAGAAATATTTTTATCTTTCCTCTTTTTTGTTATAAAATAAATGGAATTGAGAGGGAAAAAGGAAAAGAAAAGTCTGAGGGTTGGGTGTTCAGCTATCTTCTTCTTCTTCTCTTCCCGTGTCACCATGGATAAGGTAAATGGTCTCAAGTTGGTTATTTCTTTCATTTTAAAGTTTATTTTGATTCTTAGAGTGATAAGAAAGCTTAAGGGAAGCTTTAAGTGACTTAAAACTCAAAGATGAACAAGTTATGAGAGATTAAGTAAAACAGAGTTTTTAAGTGAATTATTGAAAAAGGAGTAGATGGATTTTGAAGTTGAATTTGACTTGCCATAAGTTGAAATAAGAAAATCAAAGTGTTAGAAATGAATTTGGAACATGTTGATTTATTGGCTTGATTATTGAATTCAAGTGTGTATAAGAGATATTGGATATTAGGATGAATTAAAGTGATCTAAGTTGATTAGAGTAAGTGTAGTTAAGCTTAAAGGGTTAAAAGGAGGTTCTAGTAGAAGATTTAAGTAAGTTTGGTAAATTTTCGGGGTAAGACAAATGAATTATGGGCAAGGGGTATCAGTACTGTTCAGTCAGTACTGATACTTCAAAGAGAAAATGAGAGATAATTGGGGTATGGGTATCGATACTGGTTGAATGAGTATCGATACCATAAGACAAAAATTTTTAAATTGTTCAAAGAGTATTGATACCAAAGGAGTAATATTGATATTGGGGGTATAGATATTGGGGGTATCGATATCATTAAGCAAGTATCGGTACCATTTTGAAATAAGGATCACATAATCGAAAAAGGGCATCGATACCCAGACTTGGTATCGATATCATAGCTAGGGAAGTATTGGTACCATACATGGGGTACCGATACTACTCAAATTGAAAAATTGTATTAAGTATTTCTTTAAGCTTGAGTTATTAAGGATCGAATTACAATACTTAAAATTCTGATATGCATATCAAATGTATGATTGTGTAGATATCGAGCATAAGCAAGTTCCAGAATGATTGAAGAGTTAGAAACGATCAAGAGATAAGAGATCGATATTGACTAGTAAGGCCAAGTGAGTGCATACTAAGATGAAATATGATTTGATAGAAGAAGTTAAACTTGTGATAAGTCTATCTCCGACATTTTAAATATAAGATGGTACGAGTAGAATAATGATTTATGATTGTACTGTGTGATATGCCTTGTATACATTATATTTTATGTGATGATCTAATTGACCATATAAGATTATATGCATAGATAATAACAAGGTAAAATGAAATAAGTTCAATGACATTGATTCAGATGATATGATCTACGTAAGTATGTGAAAATGTGATATAAATAATATGAACATGAACTAGGCAAGTACATGATTGTGTGATAATATATGAGAACTAATATACTGAAATTATATGATTAAATGAGAAGTGAGATAAGATAAGTAGTATGGACCTATAGAATAATAGGAAAAATAGTATATCAATTTGGAGACATGTACATAAAGGGTAATACGAATATGTAAGATGAGCTATATGGGAAAAATTTATATGCTTAGATGAAATTATGACATATGAATTATATGGTAAAGATTTACGAAGTCATAGGAGAAGGTTATAGGAACAATGTGAAATTGAACTAAGGGAATATAGGAAATTAGTATATAAATGGAGTTATATAAGTGATATATGTTGGTATGTTATGACATATGTTACGTGATCTATGTAAACATAAGAGAACAAAATATAAGCTATGTGGTATAGATATAAATGATTTTATGAACATGTAATATAAATTAGGGAATGATGATCTAGGTGTTTATATGTCTATAAGAAGATATAAGAACAATATATAAGCCGTGTAACATGAACTACGTAAATTAAATGTTATGTGATATTGTTTATGTGACTATATGAAAATGTGTACATTAGTACATGTATAAGTTTATATATTATTTTATGTGCTATGTGACATATGGGAACATATGTGAACAAAATATGACATATATGTTTGCATGAACACATGAGAAGTGATATAAGTTATGTGACATATGAATATGAAATCATATTAAAAGTGACATGAACTACGCAAAATTAAGCTACGTGATTACATTTACATGTGAATATGTCTATACAAGTGATATGAACTATCATAAATGATAATGCCCATGTTATGTGACCTGAGAGCTAGAGGTATAGTTGGTATGCCAAGAGTCGATGGTTATATGTGGTCCTTCGGGACGTATTTGTTATATGTGGTCATTCGGGACAAATTCATATGCCCCTAGTGGGACCTTATACAAGCTGTGGTGACAGCATATGTGCACAACCTCTATGTACTCACATATCTTTAGTTCTCACAAGTGTACCTGGACAAATAAAATATATGACATAAGAAACCTTGTGTAATGTTATGTGTTTTATTTTGTGGAATGTATGATATGATATGCATAAGTGTTAATGATAAGATCACAAGATTAAAGGAATGAATGTAAATAATACTGTTAATAATAATAATAATGTGAATGATGATAATGATAGTATAAATATATATATGTATGTAATGGTCATATGAATGGTTATATGCTTTTGCATGATATTAGTGTGTGAATTGTTTGTGCATTGTTAGATAATTAAAGTTTTTCGTATTTGTTTTATATGCTTTTCTAAGTAATAAACTTAGAGTGTGAGTGTTTCACACGTAAGTTTTGAGAAGATTGAAGAGCAAAGAGGAGCAAGACAAATCAGTTTCTTCTTTCCGTATATCATATCAGAAAAGTCTTTTATTAATATGTATTTTGTTATATGGAATGTAGTTGGCATGTAAATAAGAGATTTGCATTATATACGCTCTGATAAGTTTTGTAAATCTTTTATTGGAATAATATGAAGTTTTATTTAATATTAGTGTGAAATTTTCATTATTATGTACAAGTAAAGGTTTTGAAAAGTCAATGTGACATATCAGACTCGTATTCAGGTCGGATACGGGTTGGGGGTGTTACACCTACCCTGCATTTCAACTTAAGAAGTACAGCAAAAGTCATGGGTCTTTAATAATATTTCATAATTTCTTAAGAACTAGAAGAAAAGTGATAGGGTTAATTTCTTGTTTGGCCATTTCTTGGTCCACCATTTTCGCATAATTGTTAAACAAGGTATCCAAGTTTATCCCATTTCCAAAATGGTTGTAAAGCATGGATTCCTGGATTGCCTTCACGGTAATCGCCACCGCGGTGCCGTAGCTCTCTCTGCCTTTGACTTGTTTCTCGATCTCGTACATCTCCACCCTTTCCAATTCGAACGAACCATCTCTTCTCACTTGGTCTTCTATTTCATTTCTCGACGCTGCATAAAAGTGCACATTGTAACAATCAACCTTCTCCTTCTCAATTTCTCCCTGCAGAATCAAATAAATGGAACATGTTCATATTCATTGAGAAATTGATAGCGGAAACATAATCAACACGAGATTAACATGATCAGATATTAAAAGTTTAGGACCCGTGAAACTGATATGGCCAGACATCTTGAGAGAATCTCCCAAAAGAAAGAGTTGTCTCTATGGACATGTTCGTGGTCTATTCTTCCCAAAGTGATGAGCACCATTCTCCCGTTTGTGACGAGCTCTTCCGATCGTGATTTCAGGAACAATGAAAAATCATCCTGGAATTGGTTCCTGTATGCTCTGGACACACTCGGAGGGCTCTAGTCTGATATATAAACGCTTCCTTTGTTGATAGACTTGCTATGCTCATCGTAAAGGTCTGGAGGCACCTGCATGGCATGCATGTACGTAAATGATTAATAGGAAAAATGCAGTTTCAGTAACATAAATTAGGGTGAATGCTGATAATATTTGGATTCCACATTCAAATAGTGGTAAATTCACCCATAATATTTGATAAAATAGTCATTTTGATTCTTATATTTTTTTTTGAAATATTTTGATTCAAATATTTTATTTTGGGCAAAATATCTCATGATTGGATAAAACACTTAGTTGACTAATTATCAACAATTATCGCTGATGTGATAAGTCTTATGTGCTCAAATTGATAACGTAGTACATATCATATGTATATACATATATATATGACATGACATATGTCATGTGTATATAAATAATGACGTGACATATATTGTGCCATTACTTTGGACACATAATTTATCTGATCAATAATAAGTATTCATCGTACGTTAACTAATTGATCACACCTAATTAAAGGATATTTTATTTTAAAGTAAAATATTATGAGTCATATTATTTAGAAAAAGAAACATGGATTAAAGTATATATTTTCAAAACGTTAAGATTGATTTTTGATATTACGTCTAAAACGAAGCAAACCTTGGAGAGCCAGCGCAAGCTGTAAGAAGAGTAGATGAAGTGCAAGCAATTATTGGGGAACAATCTTCCATAAAACGAACCAGGGTAACCTGCTATGAATATAGCAGGACACCTTCCATTTTTTTCTTAAGGTCTCTGTAGAAATCAGGCAGGGACTTAAAAACCGAATTGAAGTCATTCGACGGAAGATCATTAAGGAAACTCGAAACTCCGGTAAGGGACGAAACATTTTGTGGCTACCGCCACCTCCTTCCACGGCTTCAACGACGTCTTTGATGGGTAACAACGAGTTGGGTCCTGAAGAGCAGCCCAAATCAGCTATGCCCAGACTCTCTGGACTCACTTCGTTGTAAAGCTGTTGTATCGTTTCCATGTTTATGTGTTTCACCATATCCGAAGCTTTTTTCTGGTAGAGAAAATAAAGCAAAACCAGTCAAGACTATAGCAGACACGGATTTAAATTGCAGTTACGGTGTATTTTTAATTGCGTTTCGTTCATTGTAATTATGA